CTAACTGTAAATCACTTGTAAATAAAGAGATTGATTATTTCCTTTTCTTTCTTCCTTTTTTCTTTTTGTTGTTGTGAAACTGGGACTTGAACTCAGTACCAGACATTTTGCTCATGGGCTGACACTGTACCAGCTGTACCAACTGACCCGTGTTTCCAACCCCTGATTATTTCCATTATTATGACCTTGGCAGACAAGGACTTCGGTGCACTGTGGACGCAGCAGGCAAGGCTGCTTCTGACACGTGGCAGTGCTGAAGACACTGTGTGAACATGGACAAAAGCGTGTTCCTGCTTTGGGAAGTGAGGGTTGTGTGGATCTGTTTGGGCTACCACAACAAAATACCACCACAGACTGGGTAACTTTAACAACAGAAATTTATTTCTCACAGGTGTTGGCAGCTTTGGTTTCTCCTGAGGCCTTTGTCCATGGCTTGTAGCCATCTCTCTGTGTCCTCATGTGGCCTTTCCCTTGGTCTTTCAGTGTCTGCCTATCCCTCCCTCCCTTCATCTCTCCTCTTCTTCTATCCCTGACTCTCCTTATAAAGACACCAGTCACACTGATACAGGATTCCACCTTTCCTACTTCATTAAGCCTTCTTACCTTCTTGCCAAATACAATTATACTGGGAGCTAGGTCTTCAACCTATGAACTTGCAGGGGAGACAGTTCAAGCCACTGCCAGGATGATAGCATTTCTGTGGTGACCCCATCAGATAAAGTAATAGATCTCTATCCAGTTTGGTCCTCTTCCTTCTCACTTTTATTCTTTTTTTTAATTTTTTATTGTTGTTATAAAGGTGATATATAGATGGGTTAGTTATATAAGTCTAGTGCTAAGTACATTTCTCTTTGGACAGTGTCACCCCTTCCCTCCCTCACTCTTATTCTTGCATTAAAACTATGCAGCCTCCTGCTCTGGGTCAGCACTAATTCCATTGCACATGGCAGGAGCCTAAATCAAAGTGGCTTAAACAAAAACTTAAACTTATTATGTTTAAACTTATTATGGTATGTAACCTAAGAGACCAGGAGGTCTTCAAGCATATGAGACTCCAGGGATATGTTTCCACTTCTGGGTTCCATTTTTCTCCCTTTCCTGATGGCAGATGGCCACTAGCAGCTCCAACTTATATCCTACTTCAGGGCAAACAAGAGGAAGAAGAGATGATGTTTCCCAATAGTTTCATCAAAAATATTGGGAGCTAATCTCAGTAGACCCACTTTGGTCACATTGCCACTCACTGATCAGAGGGCCGGAACACACTGACTGGCCAGGCCTAGACCCCCAGCCCCATCTCTCTATTCCCTGAGCAGGGCATTCAGAAGTGACAGAAGTCTGGTCCTTGGAGCATCTGTCCCACAAGTCATCCAGATGGTAGCTGGGAGATCCGGGGATCTAGACACCAAGGGACCAAAACTCTTATCTGCATCAGGAAATGGGAGTGCACACCTGCCTCCAGCCAAGAAATGACAGGTGCTTACTTACCTACCATTTTATGTCTTAAGGCAGCAACTCTCTTGAGTCTGAGAGTCAAAGCTGCACAATACAAGGAAAACCTGCCCATCAGGATGATAGTATTTCCGTGGTGACCCCATCAGCTAGCACAGGCTGGTGTGGAAGTGCTGTGAGCAGAGGAGCTCAGGACGACAGAGCAGTTCAAGGTCTGGCAGGCTGGGAAAGGTAAGATTTGAGCTGGGTGTGGGTGGGTAGGAATCAGATAGGCAGAGGGTTAGAAGGACAAGGGGTAGACTAAGTTATGATGGAGAAAGTGAGTTAGGAGTGTCGGTGATCAGAGAAGCAGGGAAGGCATCAGCTCAGAGGAATGCAAGGACAAAGAGTATGAAACAGGCCTACAGGAAAAGGGTTTTGAGCCAGAAAGAAACCTAACAAGTGCAGTGTGTAGGGGACATGAGTATTAGCCAGCATGGGACAGAGTAGAGTAAGATGATGAACACTTTGGATAGGAGACTGATAGTCCTGTCAAGGTGGGGCATTGACTAGCTGGGCTCCAGGGCCAGGCCAGGGCCTGGCCTTCACAGCTCTGAGATGCCTCTGGTAGGTTAGCAGCTTCCTCCAAAGTGGGTTTCTAGGAGAAAAGCCCATAAGGGGCAAGAAGACTCTACTCTTCCCCAAGCCCACCCACCCCAGATGATTAAAGTGGCAAGGCCATGACAGGAAGTCTTGTGAGAATGCCCAAGGTCATCCTCACCCAAACCCATCCATTATACTTTGGTGGTTTACCTGCTTTGCCCTGGATTCTCCATAGATGGGCCATCACTGCTGACTGTCACTAGAACTGATTCTTGCACCTGCCTCTGTTTCATTCACTGTCCCAGTTCTACCATTTGGGCCAGGTAAAATGACTAAACCAGTCATGCTTCAAACCTTTGGTTTGGTGTTTTGTTTCTGAGATAGGGTCTTTTCATCCCTGCCCTGATGGGGCTTGAACTCAGGGCCTGAGCGCTGTCCCTGAGCTTTTGTGCTCAAGGCAAGCACTTTGAGCCATAGTATCACTTCTGATTTTCTAGTGGTTAATTGGACATAAGAGCTTTTCCTGCCTGGGTGGGACCATGATCCTCCCGTCTCAGCCTCCTGAGTAGCCAGGGTTACAGGCATCAGCCACCAGTACAATTTTTCCTAGTCTGGCTTCTGCCTTCTGAGTATTACAAGTATGAACTACCAACCCCACCTGCAAATATTCTTTTGTAAGGGCTAACAAAGTACATTTGCTTCAGAGATTTCTCAAGTAACTGTCTTTCCTTGATCTTCCTGCTTAGCTCAACATGATTTCCTCTTCTACCTTAGGCACTACATCTCTCTTAATACAGCCAAAGACGACACCCTTGGTGGCAGGGTTTCCTTAGGATGCAAGTAGGTATGGGAAATAGGTGAGGAAAACTCACTCTCATCAATATTAAAGTACCCCACTGTGGCCCATATCCCCAATCTTCCTATTTCATTCCAGCCCCTTGCCTCAAGCCCCCACTCCAACAAATGCTCACTTAAGGGCAAGAGTTTTTCCTCTCTAAGGATCTAAACCCAGGAGTGGGTGGAGCCATTGGTTAGCCAACAATTCACAGGGCAGTCCTAGGTTGATGCCTGCAATAGAAACATCAATCCTGTCCAGGTTAACAGCCTGGGGCTGACAGTGTCCAAACTCTCCCTGAAACCGCCACTCTGTGTAGCCTCACAGGCTACAGTGTGATATTATAAAGCAAGTGGCAGGAGCTTAAACCCTCTTTAAAATGGAGGAAGGGACTGGAGCTTATCAATGTTTAAGATGTGTGTGTGTATGTGTGTGTGTATCCCTTTACATTTATTTAGTGTACATTACCATGGTAACCTAGTAACTTTCCTTTTTGCCATTTAACAAAGCAGTTTATGAATACAATACATCTTAATCAATGTCACCCCCTCTCAATATTCTCACACAACGCTCCCCTACCCACCCCTTCCCTCCCTCTTCTTACTTTTGTAAGATATACATTGGATTCTCGACTGCATTCTCCCCCACTTCTCCTCATTCAGATGACTACCCTGTTCCTTTGACTCCACCCCCACTCCTTCCTAGTACCAGCTTCCTCATGTTGGTTTTGTTGTTGTTGGTTTTGCTGAACTTTGATTTTTGCCTTTCTAAGGAATTGCACTATTTGAGCTCTCCCCAAAGTGTGTGTGTGTGTGTGTGTGTGTGTGTGTGTGTGTGTGTTAAACAGTCAGGGATTCCGTGCTTTCAGGAAATTCTCAGAGGATCTAAGACTAAGAAAAGACTGTCTCCCAAAGAGAAGCTGCTGTCAGTTGGGAAGTCCTGGGGTCGTCTAACGCCCCCCGCCCCGCGCCCAGCCCCGGGTTGGGTCTCTTTCGCCTGGGAACCTAGCTAGAGCTGCATTAGAGGCAGTGATGACCCAACCGCGGACGTGGAAAGGGACCGAAGGGAGCCCGGACGACGGTGACCGCTGTCCCAGAACAGGAGAAAGGTCACGCTTCTTGGCTGCGCCCCAGTTTCGTAGTAGGGGCCGAATAACCCATCCTGATTGGACAAACCCCAGGGCTGCGTCTAGAGGCGGAGGCGGGGGCGGGGAGGGGGCGGCGCGGGGCGGGGCTTGCGCCTGGGCCCGCCCCCTTTCCCTCTCCAGAGCAGGTCGGGCTCCCCCTGGCGGCGCGGGGTTCCCTCTCCGCTCCGCGTGCGCCTCCCCCCACCCGTGTCTCCGGCCCCCACCTTGCACAGGTCGGTATCTGTGCACCGACCGACCGACAGACAGACAGGCGGGGAAACCAGCCGGCGGCGAGCACCCGGGCGGCGGGAGGGGCGGGAGGCGACGGCTGTGGTTTGAGGAGCAGGAGCAGGTGCGGCGGCGGCGGCGGTGGCGGCGAGCCGCGGGCGGAGCCGGGACGAGCGGCGGGCGGGGGCCGCGGCGCCGGCGGGCGTGCGGCGGGGCAGCCGGGGAGGCCAGGGCTGGGGCGAGCTGGGCCAGGCCGGCGGGGGGCGAGGGGATTCGGAGTAGCGCGGCGTGGCGGGGCGGGGGGCGAGGGGGTGACTCCGGAGGGCGCAGGATCCCAAGGAGACGGAGAGGACGAGAGCTGGGGGAGGCTCCGGAGCGCGGCCGGGGCTGGGGCGGGAGAGGTGGGGTGGGGTGGGCGGCAGACCTGGAGCCGCGGCCGGGCGCGATCGGGTCAGCCAGCTCAGAGGGGATGGGGACCCGATCGGGTGAGGCGGGAGGAGCGTGGGGGTGGCGTGCGATCTGGGGAGTTGGTGAGATCCCGAGGTGTTAAGTTCTGAGGTGGCTCGGGAAGAAAGGCTGGGCGGGGGGGGAGGAACCCGGGAGTGGGGGGTCGGCCGGTGGAGGACAGCTTGGCCGGAATCCAGGGCCGGGTGGAGAGAGCAGGGGCGCTCACAAGGCCATGGGCAGGGGGGTTGAGTTGTGAGGCTGAGGCCGGGGCATCTCCGGGAGTAAAGTGGCTCCAAAGTGAGCGGGTCCCTCGGGCGGGAGGAGGGGGCTGACGAAGACCCCGGAGTGCTGCACTAAGCCAGGCCAGGGCAGTGCCCCCTTCCCCCCGCACATGGGGGAAGCCCCTCCCCTGGGGTCACTGGAGCCATGCTGTCCCGCAAGGGAATCATCCCCGAGGAGTATGTGCTGACCAGACTGGCAGAGGACCCCGCGGAGCCCAGGTACCGGGCCCGGGAGCGGAGGGCCCGCTTTGTATCCAAGAAAGGCAACTGCAACGTGGCCCACAAAAACATCCGGGAGCAGGGCCGCTTCCTGCAGGACGTGTTCACGACGCTGGTGGACCTCAAGTGGCCCCACACGCTGCTCATCTTCACCATGTCCTTCCTGTGCAGCTGGCTCCTCTTCGCCATGGTCTGGTGGCTCATCGCCTTCGCCCACGGTGACCTGGCCCCCGGCGAAGGCGCCGCGGTGCCCTGCGTCACCAGCATCCACTCTTTCTCATCCGCCTTCCTCTTCTCCATCGAGGTCCAGGTAACCATTGGTTTTGGCGGGCGCATGGTGACTGAGGAGTGCCCCGTGGCCATCCTGATCCTCATCGTGCAGAACATCGTGGGGCTCATGATCAACGCCATCATGCTGGGCTGCATCTTCATGAAGACCGCGCAGGCGCACCGCCGCGCCGAGACCCTCATCTTCAGCAAGCACGCGGTCATCACCCTGCGCCACGGCCGCCTCTGCTTCATGCTGCGAGTGGGGGACCTCCGGAAGAGCATGATCATCAGCGCCACCATCCACATGCAGGTGGTCCGCAAGACCACGAGCCCCGAGGGCGAGGTGGTGCCCCTTCACCAAGTGGACATCCCCATGGAGAACGGGGTGGGCGGCAACAGCATCTTCCTGGTCGCCCCGCTCATCATCTACCACGTCATTGACTCCAATAGCCCGCTCTACGACCTGGCACCTAGCGACCTGCACCACCACCAGGACCTCGAGATCATCGTCATCCTGGAAGGCGTGGTAGAAACCACAGGCATCACCACCCAGGCCCGCACCTCCTACTTAGCTGACGAGATCCTATGGGGGCAGCGCTTTGTCCCCATTGTGGCCGAGGAGGACGGCCGCTATTCCGTGGACTATTCCAAGTTTGGCAACACCATTAAAGTGCCCACGCCTCTCTGCACAGCTCGCCAGCTTGATGAGGACCGCAGCCTGCTAGATGCCCTGACTCTCGCTTCGACCCGTGGACCTCTGCGCAAGCGCAGTGTGGCTGTGGCCAAGACCAAACCCAAGTTTAGCATCTCTCCAGATTCCCTATCCTGAAAGAGACATGGTCCCTCAGGCCCAGCACATGTGTATGTGTGCGCAGAGGCAGTGTGATATGGTATGTAGAGCGATCTGGTGTGGGTCCCTTAGCCACTGTAAAAGCCTGCTGTGAGGTTGGATCCTCCTCAACTCAGCCTCTATGCTGCTTGTGTGCCCGGGGTGTGACAAGGCACTTGTCATTACCCTATTTCTGGCCTCAGCAGCCTGTACTGGGTTATTTTTGTCCCTGCTCCTCCCATTCCCAGCTCAGGACTAGCTTACCCCTCTCTCCCTGCCCAAGGCTGAGGAGGCTGTAAGAGGCGCTGGGCCCTTACAGCTGGTTCTCCAACCAGTCCTGCCCTCCGTGACCAGCCTGCTACAAGTAGGTGGCTGGGGGGAAACAGTACTTAGGTTTAGAGGTCTACTAGCCTGTTTCTATGGTTCCAAGAAATACCTGTCCCTGAAGTAGTGATGGGCCTAGAGGGGTGAACCTGGCCAGCCCGGGAGGGCCGCATGGAGAGAGCACCTTCCAGCTGCAGCACTGCACGTGGGGAGCCTTCTCCATGAGCAGGGACAGGCCAGGTTGGTAGGGTTCCCTCCAAAGCACAGATTCTAGCCAGGGAGGAGTAGGAAGCAAGGAGGGCCACGGTGAGGCCTTGCTGATCCCTGCGCAGGCGTAGAGAACAGGAGATAGACCAGGGCCGCAGCCCTTCACTCCCTCCACCAATCTTCCACAGAGAGGGTGCACAGGCCAGGGCAACTGCTCCTTCCTATACTGTCTCCATCCTGGGAGGCTGGGATGTGCTGAGAAAACTGGTATAACAAGCAGAGAGACTGAGACCAGTCTTGTGCTGCTATACACAATAAGCCTCAAGCTGAAGTTTCCCTCAGACTCCCCACCAGGAACTGCTATTGCCCAAAGGGTGATGGGGGGGGGCGTGTCTTGGGGCTGTTGGAGAAGGTGTTGGAAAGTTCAGGATGGTAGGGTTGAGGGGGCCCTGGGTTCTGTCTGGACTTCCAGAGCAATATTGTATCTATGTCCTTGCCCAGAATTCTGCTTCCCATTGTCAATAAAGCCTCCCCTCCAGGACCTGAAATCGGGGCTGTTCTTGCCGGGGAAGCAGTAAGTGTGCTGGTGGAATGGGAGGGCAGGGCTAGCGTCTGCCATCCCACATTCAAAAGGTACCATGCCCTAGCAGAAAGGCCAGGGGAGGGACCTGGAGCTGGACCATCTTCCACTAGCTCAGGGAGCATTTGCCCCTCCACCCAGGAGACCCCACACTACCAGCCTGTCTGGCCATCTCAACCTTTGGACATTCGCCATGCTTTAGAGCCCTGGACCCTGCTTTCCTCCCAGGAATCTGCTGGGAGGCTGAGATACCCAGGGAGAGGGGTAGGGGTATCAGACATTAATGGGGAGGGCTGAATTCTGGCTCTTCAGCCAGCTGTCTTGGGTTCAAATGCTGACTTTAGCTATATAAGTGTGCTCAAGTGATTTAACTTCTTTGTGTCTCAGTTCCCTCATCTATGCTAATTGTCCCTACCTCATAGAATTGTTGTGGGAACAGATAGAAGCACATGTAAAATGCGGAGTGCCTGGTCTATAATAAGTGCTCAATAAATGTTGAAATCTATTAACCCAGACCAGTGGTACTCCTTGAAGCCTTCCCTCCTCTACACTAAGAACATTCTCTTTTCCTGGGCTTATGCATCTGTTTCCCCACCCCATGGCTCTTTCAGGTTTGGAACTGTGTCTGACTCGGCACTTTGCACTGAGTAGGTGTTGAGTGAATGAATGAATGAATGACGGATGGATGTGCTATGGATGGGTAGACGACTAGATGGATGGATGGCATACGGAACTACAAGCCATGCCTACTGCTGCAGTGAGGCCTAGAGGTGGGATTTGGGTCTGAACAGTAAGATTCTGCCCCAGGCTGATCTGGAGATGTGCTTGAGGGGACCAGTAAGTCGGTGTTGCTGCTAAGCTGCCCTCTCCCCCACACCTTCCTTGCACAGCTGAACTACTACTAGAGTTCTGGGGGGCCTGAATCCTGGCCTGTCAGCCACACTGTTCCTAAACCTAAGGGAGAATCTAGAGTCACTAATAATAAGCTCCTGAGTGACGATATCCTTGGCCTCCCTTCCATAATAACTTTCCTCCTCCTTAGGTGACTGGTGAGCGCCTGAAGCCAGTAAAATTAGGACTTAGTGCCACCTGCTGGCCAAAGAGAGAATGTACTTGATCCCAGAAATGGACTGCAGGAATATACCCCACCTTACTGGGTAGAGGCATTAAGGGCAAGACTATGCCCTCCTTGCTCAAGAGAAAAAGTGTGACTCAAGAAAACCAAAACCATGGCCACACACCAGTGTCTTATGCTTGTAATCTTAGCTACTCAGGAGGCTGAGATCCGAACAGCATGGTTCAAAGCCAGTCCAGACAGAAAACCATCAGAAAACCAGAAGTGGAGCTGTGGCTCAAAGTGATAGGGTGCGAGCCTTGAGCACAAAAGCTTGGGGACAGCACCCAGTCCCTGAGTTCAAGCCCCAAGAAGAAGGAAGGAAGGAAGGAAGGCAAGCAGAAAGCCAAAACGTTCCCTGACATTCCATATTCAAAACTGCCAGCAGGCTCAGTTGTGTTGTGACAGCCTAAACTATATCGAAATCAGCCATGCAATCAGGGACCTCACTGGTACTTTCTCTGACCCGTGTGCATGGTTACATCCTCTCCTTTATTTTTTTTCTTTTTTTCTTTTTTTGTCAGTTGTGGGGCCTGAACTCTGGGCCTGGGCACTTTCCCTCAGCTCTTCAGCTCAAGGCAAGCACTCTACCACTTCCGGCTTTTTCTGCTGATGTGGTGCTGAGGAATCAAACCCAGGGCCTCATGCCTGCAAAGCAAGCACTCTACCACTGAGCACCTTCCCAGCCCGCATCTGATTTCTATAGACCCACTCTCTCCTCAGAGATTGCATCCTTCTAGCTCTTCCCTTCGCCATAGCTTTGGCTAACACATTTACCTGCTGAGAACATTCCTAAGAGTTGCTGTCACTAGAGTGACAAGCCTTTCAGGTCTCCCAGGCCCAGGTAAAAGATATATGTAGATGACTTTGGGGAGCAAAAGACAAATTCTCCACATCAAGGTCATACTGTCCCCAGACTGAGTCAGGTCTGCAGTACTACAGATCTAGTCTAGCTTGAAAGGAAAGAAACAGTGGGACTAGATGCTAAAACAGGTAGAAAGTAGATTATGTCACACTAGAGTCCAGATTACTAACAGCCTCTCTACTAGGTCCTCTTGTGTCTGAGTCATTCAGTCTCCTCATGGTATTCTAGTTCTATTGTAATCTATCTTCCCATTCTAGTTCTATGCTGGGAAAGCTAGCTCTGACGTAATGTTAAGGGGGGACTGGCTAGACCAGCAAATCTAGACCCTAGAGTATTAACTCTTTCCAGCCTTTTCCTTGACTTTGTCTCCTTTTTTGGCCCTGATGCTACTAAGTAAAGCATGAAATACAAAGTACATATCCACATCAGCTTTGGCCCTCCTCTGTGAGGAGCAACGTGTACAGATATATGTACAGCAGGACCAGCACCACCCAGCAGTGTTCTTCAGCTCCTACGCTCAACTTCATCCTTTGATGTCGTCCCATAACCTACCTATCATGAATGAATCTCATTTTTTGCAACACAAACATGTTCCAAATTCCTCTATCAGCACTCCAGCTGAAACAAACCAGACATTAGGTAGTCCTGTCTTTGTTTATTCTATTTCATTTGATCAATCCCACTTTTTCATAATGGCATTATTTGTGGGGAAGAGAAGTAACCCAGAGAGGAGAAAATGTAATACAGTCTACGAAATATTTTGGCTCCTTTTAGTTTAATTTCCTGCTACTGTTTTCCTGGAAGTATCTTCCCCCAAGGAAGGCAGTTTAAACAGTGTGTTCTCAGGTGGGTTGTTCGAGTCCTTAGGGAAAGTCTTCCAGTCACTTATTCTGTGAGACACTGTGTGGTCTCTATTGTGTCTCCATGCAGAAACCACCACTGTCCATCTTGAAGAAGCCACAAATGCATCATGGATGTACCATGTCCCTCCTATTACTCTTCTGTATAATTATTCAGTCTCTCTTGTGTCACTTTGGGTCTTCTTAGAAGCAGCTTCCAGATGGGAGTCCGAAGTGGAAGACAGTTATTTTGTACAAAAGTCAATGCAAAATGTATCAGAGAGCTTAATGGAACTACTAAAGGAAAATACAGGGAAGACACTTGGAACATTCATGTAGGAAATCAGTCATTAAACTCATTAAAAATATATTAAAAGCCAAGCACCCGTGGCTCATGCCTGTAATCCTAGCTACTCAGGAGGCTGAGGTCTGAGGATTGCAATTGGACAGCACCCAGGTCCTGAGTTCAAGCCCCAGGATTATCACACACATGTACGCGCACGCACGCACACACACACACACACACACACACACACACACACACACACACACCCATTATGTTCAAAGAGAGGGGAAGAGGAGATTAGAAAAAGAAGTAGAGGGAGTCAGTATGCTCAAAGCACATTATAACTACATATGCACATACTACAGTGAATCCTCTTATACAGTTAATATACACCAATAAATAAAAGAAGTACAGTACTTTTTAAAAAGATAAGTCCAGTGCAATAGACACATGAGAGTCAGTAAGAGGGGAATTCCTTCCAGTTGCAAGGCAGGCTCACTGTGAAGAGAGGAGGAAAGTGGAAGAATTGAATAGGAAGAACCTAATTCCATTTAAATCCTGCTGTGCTCTGTCATTGGCCGTGCCTGAGTAGGAGAGCAGGGATTGGCTCACATACTTGAGAGATGCTTTAGAATAGAGGTGTTGGGAACCATGTCAGCTAAATGAGTGAGCAGTGCTCACAGAAAGCTGTAGCAGCATATCCCCATTCCTAACACAGTCCTCTTGGTCAAAATTTACCTTCCCAGGGAGCTGTGTCTGTTTTTTGCTGTGTAACAAACAACAACCAACCCTAAAACAGTGCACTAAAGCTTTAGTACAAATGACTACTGGATCCAGGCTAGTCATAAAGACTTTGGCTCCTTTTCTTTCTTTCTTCCTTTCTCTTTCCTTTTTCCTTCCTTCTTTCCTCCTCCTTCTTCTTCTTCCTCCTCCTCCTCCTCGCCCACCTCTTCCTCCTTCTTCTTTTTGGTCTCAGAAAGGCAAAATTAACTTGTGCAAAAGAGTATACCAGCAAGTATCAAGAACTTGAACGAGATTTAGGTTAAGCTCCTGTTTTTGTCTCTTCTTTGGTGAAAAGGATTTTAGTGCTTCCAATTTGTCTCCAAGGACTTTAGTGTTTCCAATTTGGCTCCTTGTAAATATTGCCAGAAGTCTGTTACCACAGCACCTGGATACAACAATAAATATGACAGCAGTCACAAGTCACAAGAAATATTTGAACACCACTTTATATCCAGTTTCCTAACTGGCTTACTTTTCACCAGAAGAATAAGTTTCATATATCAGCTGGCTAATGTTAGATAGTCAACTGACTATTCCATTAATGTATTCACAATCAAAAGTACTAGGTCTTACAGATATTTCACTTTGACAAGTACATAAATAATTGAGGGCAATTTTATTGTGTAGAGCCATTTTAACTCACACATTTACCAGGCATGTATTCTTACTGCTGAGTTGAGCCTCCAGCCTTCAACATACTTACAATGGTTTCCTGGGCCTCTAAAGTTTGCACTGTTGTTTTGTTTACTCTTAGGTCATAATTGAGGATTTAACTTGGAAACATCTAGTGAAGATTAAGAACTCTTGGTCAAAAATAGAATTTTCTCATGTAGAGATGTATAATTATCCTATATGGTATTAAAAAATATGAGCAGCCACGTGCTGATGGCTCACGCCTGTAATCCTAGCTACTCAGGAGGCTGAGAGCTGAGGATTGCTGTTCAAAACCAGCCCAGGCAGGATAGTGTGAAACTCTTATCTCCAGTAAAACAAGAAAACCATAAAAGGTGCTGTGGCTCAAGTGGTAGAGCACTTGCCTTGAGCTGAAGAGCTCAAGGACAGTCCCCAGGCCGAGAGTTCAGGCCACAAAAGGCAAAAAGCCACAACCAACAACAAAAAAAGAGCAAAGCCAGGCACCAGTGACTCATGCATGTAAAACTAACTACTCAGGCGACTGAGATCTGAGGATTGCGGTTCAGTCACCCTTGGCAGAAAGATCTGTGAGATTAATCAAACTTAAAAAAGCTAGAAGTGGAGCTGTAGCCCAAGTGGTAAAGCACTAGCCTTGCCCACCAAAGTTTGGATAATGCCCAGGCTGATTTCAAACCCCATGACTAGTAAGAGGGGGGAAATTAGGGGAAGAAACTCCCCCCCTTTCTCCACTGTGTGTATGGGGGGTGTTTAATCTATGAGACAGTAATGCAGACCACACACAGTCCAAAGCACTGGCCTGTACTAGTAAAGACAGACTCAATTCACAGTGATTTTTGGATAACGTGGACAGACAGAGAGAGATTTACAACACATCTCCCAGAGTCACAAAGCATCACATGGCAATCAAAT